TAACCTCTCTCTAAAACTCTAAACATCTTATTAATAAGTTAATCTTTGACAAATTATAGAGAGGCCCTTGAGTRGGCAGGAAAATACAAAAACAKAACATTACAGAGTATGGGCCCAGAATAAGGCCCACAACAGAGAGAAACATAACATAACATGAAATGACAGTCTATGGGCCATTCGGCCCATCTTCTCTACAGTATCATCATCACCCAACAAAGCGAGATTGAAAAGGCTTTTGTGTAATCTCCAGGGGCTTTTTCCCTTTGCCATGTGCTTTTCTCAAAAAAAAAGGGCTTTTGTGGACCACTTTAAATCTATCTTTAGAAGGCCTTTAAGGGGAAGGGTATGATTGGATGGGTTAGAGTGGTCGAGATTATCAGAAGATCTTAAGAAGTGGCTTTGGAGGTTTCCAAATGAAAATGAGAAATTATGGCACAAAGTGGTTGCAAGCATTCATGGCATGTCGAGTAACAGATGGGATGCTCGATGTCTTCGTAGGGCTACCTTGGCTGCTCCCTGGAAGGCCATCCATGATGTTCTCCTCCCTACATTCCTAAATCATATCAGGTATGACTTGTCTTCTGGTAGTAAAATCAGATTTTGGGAGGATGTGTGGATTGGGGATACTCCTTTGGGTAAGAAATTTCCTTCTTTGTGTGATTTGTCCGGGTTCAAGGGTAAGCCTATTTCAGGTTTCCTAAGTCAACCATCTCACCTTCCAGGGTTGAATTGGAACTTTGGATTTAACAGGAACCTTAGAGAGTCTGAACTTCTTGCAGTGTCTGAGCTGTTAGGTTTGCTGAATTCAATATTCTTGGGGGAAGGTGGGTCAGATTCTAGAATTTGGGGTCCTAATTCTAACGGGTCGTTTTCTTGTAAATCCCTTTTTCATTCGTTGGTTGCCACACAATCTTCTCTTCCTTTCCCAATCAAAGAAATTTGGTGCCCTCCTACTCCTCCTAAAACTAGTGCTTTTTGTTGGGAAGTATTTCATGGTTGTATTAATACCTTTGATGTACTTCAAAGGAAAAGACCAAATTGGTGCTTGTCCCCTAACTGGTGTGTCCTGTGTAAGTTGAGTGGTGAGACTACTTTCCACCTTTTAATATCTTGCCATTTTGTCAGTTTTGCTTGGAATTGATTTACTTCCCTTTTTGGGTGCAGGTGGTCCCCTCCTGATAGGGTGGAAGGCTTGTTCAGCCCTAATGGTATCAGTGGCATGAAAAGGAGGGGTAGGATTATGTGGAGGTGCACTAGAGCAGCAATACTTTGGACCGTCTGGGAGGAAAGAAATGATAGAATATTTGAAGGAAAAGAAAAATGCAAGGAAGTTTTAGTTGAAACAATAACATTGAGGGTGGCACATTGGGTCAGAAGCTTGAAGCTATTTTCAGTTTTTAAGATCGAAGACTTTTTCAGGGTTTGGGGACTTGTTGCTGCCTCATCATCTACGAGACAACAGTTTTTTGAGGCTTGGTCTCCTCCAACAGATGGTTGGAAGAAGCTGAACTTTGATGGGAGTTGTGTGGGTAACCCAGGCCCTTCAGGCATTGGGGGGGCCATTAGAGATGAAAATGGACTCATTATTGCTCTGTACTCCAATCCTGTGGAGGAGGGTGATGTGGCAGGGGCAGAGTTTCTAGCTGCAGCATATGGGGTTGAGAGGGCTAAAGAGTTGGGTATTAACAGACTGATCATTGAGGGAGACTGAAAAACGGTGATAAAATGGTTGCAGAAAGGGGAAGGGGTGACTTGGAAGTTGAAGAATGACTTCAGAAGATTTAAATGGATGTCAAGGAACATGTCAATCTAGGTGGGATGGGTTAGGAGATCTGCCAACAGTTTGGTAGATAGCTTAGCAAAGCAAGGGGTTCAAAGAACATATATGTTTTGGGCACATTTGTAATTTTGTCCGGGGTCAGCTTACTTAGATGATTCCTTTCACAGCTTCTTGTTGTATCCTAATGTATTCTAAAGTTTTCTAATTAATGAAAATTTCAAAGTTATTGATAAAAAAGAAAGGAGTTTTGATTTGGAAGAGATCAGAGAAGCAATTTTTTCTATGGATAGATCATAAGTTCTTGGGCCAGATGGTTTCACAATGTCATTTTTTTCAAGATTGTTGGAAGATCCTAAAAAATGATATCCAAGGAGTTTTCAATGAATTTTTCAGGAGAGGTGTGATTAATCCTGGTTTAAACTCCACATTCATTGCTTTAATTCCAAAGAAGGATGATGTTGTTTACCCTAAGGATTTCAGACCCATCAGCTTGATGAATAGCCTCTACAAAATTATTGCAAGGGTGCTTTCTTATAGAATAAGGCATGTTCTCCTTTTTATTGTTTCCCCAAATCAAGGGACTTTTGTTAAAGACAAACAAATCATTGATTAGATTCTTAGTGCTAATGAAAGTGTTGAAGAAATGAAGAAGATGGGAAAAAAAGGCTTCATTTTTAAACTTGATCTTGAGAAGGCTTACGATTTGGTGGATTGGGATTGCCTCTTAGAGGTCTTGAGGAGTTTTGGGTTTTCTGATGGATGGTATAAATGGATTAAGGGTGTGTATAAGAACTTGTCACTATTCTATTTTGGTGAATGGGAAAGTTGTTGATCATTTCCAGTCTCTTGGGGGGCTTAGACAAGGGGACCCTCTCTCTTGTTTCTTTTTCATTTTGATTGCTGATGTTATTGGAAGACTAATCTCTTGGGTGGATTCTAGTAATTTGGTGAAGGGCTGGAGAATGGGTAGAGAGAGAGTGCCAATCACCCATTTATAGTTTGCTGATGATACTATCTTGTTCCGTGAAGGGGGAGATAGGAGGTGGACACAGAATTTGAAACTGGTGGTTCAATTATTTGAGAGATTGTCAAGCTTAAAGGTGAATCTTGAATCTTGATAAAAGTTGTGCTATAGGGATCAACATGGATCAGAGGGAGATATCTGATATTGCTAAAATCTTATGTTGTGGGGTGGCACAATGGCCTTTGATCTATTTGGGGCTTTCTTTGTGTGATAATCCAAGATGTGCTAATTCATGGAACCCATTGATGGAAAGATTTCTAAAAGGCTAGCATCTTGGAAGAAAAGCTATTTGTCTTTGAGGGGAAGAATTACATTGATTAGGTCTACTTTGGCTAACTTGCCTGTGAGTGGAAAATTGGAAAAACTAATGAGGGACTTTTTGTAGGAGCCTGGTGAGGAGAAGGATCATAGGGTTAGGTGGGAGGTGGTGAGTAGGAGTAAGAAATTTGGAGGTCTTGGTATTGGAAGTATCCAGAAGAGAAACGTGGCTCTTTTAGGGAAATGGTGATGGAGACTGCCAGCTGAAAAGGACAAATTATGGGCAAAGGTGATTATTAGCATTCATGGGCTTTCAGCTAATGGATGGGATGCTGGACTGTGGAACAGGGCAACAAGAGCTTCACCATGGAAATCAATCTATGATATACTTCTAGTTTTCCTTCCCTTTGTCAGATACAACCTATGCTTGGGTAACCTTGCCAAATTATGGGAATATGTGTGGTTGGGTGACCTCCTGTTGAAGGAACAATTTCCCTCCCTTTTTAACTTTCTATCTTTAAGGATGAGCTTGTGTCTTCCTTTTTATTACCTTCTAGCTCAATTTCAGACTATGCATGGAATCTGGGAAATAGGAGTCTCAGAGAGGCTGAATTGAGTAGTGTTTCAGTTTTACTTCACTACTTGGATGGGGATGGCCTTAAAGAAGATAATGAGGTGGTGGCAGATCAGCTCTTTGAGAAGAATGTGGTCTTGGAGTTAGAAAGGAGAAATGATAATCCTTTGGATTCAAAGGCTCATGGGGAGATTTCTAATGCAGTAAGAAGGTTCAAGAGCCAGAGCAACCATCAAACAGCTAAGGTGTCAAATGCTTTTTTCCCAAATTAAAGGGGATTATTTGGGGTCAGGCCATCAAGAAGGTGAAAAAACAAAGAAGGCAAATAAGAGAGGTAAAGAGTTTCCTCTTCAAACCACCGGAAAAGATGAATGGTCGGGGAACACTTCTGGCTGGCCTAAGCTGAAGCATAGTATCATAAGTTGTAGGGAGTTGTCATTTGTCAATTGCATGAGGTTTTGCATTTGGTGGGTCATTCATTATCACCTTGCTTGTACTCTTTCTCTTATTTCTTAATAAATTTTCTTTTCTGTTTACTATCAAAAAATGATGATGATTATTGTCCTTCTATATAAACCTTTTTAATTTTTTTACAAGGACAAGACCCACAAATTCCACTTTTAAATCTAGAGAAAATCTTAGTAATATGGACCAGATGATGATTTTTTGGGCCCTTTAAATGTCTACTAATACTTGTTTTTCCATTTTTTGCCAGTGAGTGCATCTTCAAGGGAGGTCTTTGACTTATTTTCATTGATACCATCCAGAGAAGTTCCCTGCTTCAATTCCTTGCAATAATCCATACCCATCCCTAATCTTCCGACTGTCACCTCATACATATTTATGGTACTGTGTGTGTATTTTAATCAGCAACAATAATCAAAGAGTATTTACTAATAGTGGAAAAAGGACCCAGCATTTCTAGGAAGGGGCCGGGGGAGGCATACACAGCCGAAGGCTGAAAAACATGACCTATCCTAAGATATACAACTAAGCTTCAAAGATGTATCTCAGGCATGGAGTCCCCCTCTCATATTTTTATTATTTGCTTTTTTCTCCTTACCTCAATAGAAACTTGTGTTATCATTCCATGGAAAAGTTACTTCTTAATGTTAGGAACTGTACTAAGGTCATTCTTCATGAGGTTTTCTGTCTTTAAAGCCTATATACAAACAGAAAATGTGGTAAAGAAAAACTATTATCTCTAGAGTATGAAAATCCATGTTATTTTTTTTTTCTATTTCAACATGCAACGGTTTTTATATGCTTTTTGCTGAAAAGGTCATTTTTGTTCTTATGTATGCTTACATTGTAGAAGCTTATGACATGGATGGATAACGACATATTTGCTTTCTATCGTCCAGATTCAAAGTTGCCGTTGCCATGCCAAATCTTGATGAACTGCTGAAAAATACTCCCACCCATGTATTTGCATCAGTCTGGTTTGAATGGAGAAAGACAAAATTTTATTCTATCCACTACAGTGAGCTTATTCGTCTGGCTGCTCTGTATAAGTAATCTTTCTTATCACTTAAAAATAGTCTTTTTAATATTTCACTATAGTTGAGAAAAGTACTGTTTTTTAGCAAGTGTTGTCCCCAGGATATTTCATGTATAATCTGTCCATACATCTATATTGTATTATGTATAAGATATACCATTTAGATGGTGTTCCAACATGTTTGAGTCTGACAGTGGACACTTTGTGTGAGAAAATGCCAAAGCTCAGGACCTTACCCAGTCTATCCCTCCCAAGACCCCAGATAGCTGGGAATAGACCTCTTCATAGGCTGGGCTTGGGCTTGGCTTTTGTCAAAAATTCTAATAGGCCTGGCTCGAAGCTCAAGCCAACACAGTGTAAAATCGAGCCTGAAGCCCGACCCATTAACAAATCTATCTGGGAACCACATTGGTTAAAAACTGTGGACTGTTTTTCACCAGTTTTCCTTTGACGATATTTGGAGAAACTGGAGGGTGCTGGCCAGTTGCAGTTTTCAGAAGGATAGAACATATCTAGTTTGGGCACCCCCTCTAGAAGAGTACTTAAAATTGAATTTTGATGGAAGTAGTTAAGGAAATCCAGGCCTGTCTGGTGTAGGGGAGGGGTGGTGGGAGACAAGGAGGGGAATATCTTGGCACTTTTCTCAGGATTGGTGGGGGAAGGAAACTCTACTAGGGCTGAACTACTTGTTGCAATACAATCCAGATTGCTCACCATCTTAGCTTGGTAAATTTGATAGTAGAAGGAGATTCTAAGGTGGTGGTGCCGTGGTGGGATGGCTGCAAAATCCGTATTCTGTTCTTTGGCTGATTTTCTTGCAAAATGAGGGACAAATAGGGATACTTTATACTGGGCTCAGCTGTAATCAATGTTTTAAAACGCGGAGGCGTGACGCGAGGCGTTTCACTACCTAGAGGCGTGATGCGAGGCGTTTCACTACCTAGAGGCGTGAGGCGTAGTTCAGAACGCAAGAGGCGTAAGCCTCCCTTTACGCCTCCTTAAGAGGAGGAGGGTTAGGAGGAGGATGAAGAGGAAGGGGGGATCTCACTTTTTCTTTATTTTTAATAAAAAATCTTTTATATTAAGAAGAATAAAGATGCATACCATGAATAGCTTTCCAAGGAGAGCATTGGATGCCCTAGGGTTGAGTCCTGCATCCCAACCATTGTTTGCCAATCCATGAATACTAATAATCACTCTATGCCAAAGTTTATCCTGTTCCAACGGCAATCTCCTATTCCTAGGCCTCCTTCATCTCTACTTCTAGAAGCCACTTCCCACTTCACTAGGTGGTTTTTTTGGTGTCTCTTGGCTCCTGAAGGAAGTCCCTCATAATCTTGTCTAGCTGGTTTGCCACTTTCACCGGTATCCTAAAGGTAGATAGGAAATACATGGGTAAGTGTATTTATCAAAAAAATGGCCTTTTATTTAGATGGTGTTGTAATATGGTTGCAACTTATTAAACTGTAATGTGTTGTACTATGTAATCTATAAAAGTAAAAGATACACCAAAAACAAGTAGACAAACTTTTTTTTTTTTGAGAATAGGTAAAGTATGGATTTCATTAAAATATAAAACAGAAACCCTGTACAACTATAGGCTGTAACAGGGAGAACCAAACAAAAAGCTAAGCCACTATCCCATCAGCATTTACAAAAGGATTTACATAATCAAAAAAGGAACTAAACTTGAACTGATTAAGTTAAACTGAGCTGATGACCAAGAAAACATTTTGCCCACAAATTTATTCCAAACAGCCACCTCTTGACTGCCCTTTTTCTGAAAAATTTTGGAATTTCTCTCTTGCCATAAAGACCACTACACAACTCCAGGGGTCATTTGCCAAATAACCTTTCCTCTTTATTATAATCCAATCTGCCTTTGAATTCTGTTAGAATAATGACTATAGAAATAAGAGAAAGAGGAGAAGAGGAAGAAGAAGAAGAGGAGAAGAAAATAAAGGAGAGAAGTCTGGTTCGAACAAGAGAGAAAATCAGTCTCTCTCTAGTCAGCTAGATCTATTTATATGTTTCTATTAAATCATAAAAGGACACCTTTGCCCCTACTTAAGTGAGGGACACAAGTACTAACAGAACTTTACACATCAGCAACTTAAAACATAAAGACTAAAATACCCCTACACAGTCAACATTAACACTCTTTTACTCAGACCTTGTAACTGCCACCCTTTCAAGAAACTCTCCACTGATACCAGACAACTCTTGTAAGCAAACAGACTGTGTACTTTCACCTAGATGCTATAAGAGAATTTACAATGTAAAAACAAGTGATCAACCGTCTCCTACATCCTGTTACAAAGAGCACAATCCGAAGAATCAATTCCCACTACTCTCTTGAAAAGGTTATCCTTAGTCAGAATCTTATTTGAATAGGCTGACCACAAGAAAAAAGCAAATTTTGAAGGAGTATGCTTGCAACAGATTAGTTTCATAGGAAACTATTGATCTTCTTCCCTATTAGGATCAATATTAGTACTACAAAGATTTTGCAGCAAATGAGCAAACGGATCAATTTCCCAATCATTTAGAGCTCTTATAAAAAGGGGGTTCCAAACACAATTTCCACTGTTGATCTGCAAATAGTCTGCTACCTTTGCTTCCTTGTCCACTGCTACAATAAATGGTTCTGGGAAATCGTCTTTCAGAAGATTACCTCCACACCAGAAATCTTTCCAAAACAATTAGACAAACTTACCTCGGGCTGGGCTTGATTTTGGGTTGAACTGGGCCTCAGACTAGGGATCTTAACCAGCTAACTAGCACTGAATAGGCTATACATTTAAATTATTATTTTTGGAGATCCATGACCCGCATTTTGTACTTGTGGAGAACTTGGAAGAAGTCCATTGCGTTAAATACTAAATTTTGTCATGTCAAATTTGATATGTTTTCTGGTTTATTATTTGTTTTAATTTGCTTTACATGTCTGATAAAAAGGCTTCACTTGCATTTGCATTTGTCAAGATTTTCCTCTGCTCTGTTTTGAATTTGAATATTTACATTTGCTTTCTTGCATTGCCCAGATATGGAGGACTCTATATTGATTCTGATGTTGTGGTGTTGAAGCGTTTGTCTTCATTTAATAATTCTATTGGCATGGAGGATCAGGTGGATGGAAGTTCTCTCAATGGTGCACTGATGGCATTTAGAAAGCATAGGTACATCAGCTGCTTACTTGTCGAGTTTAGACAACACGATTTTGGTTGGGTATTTAGTTGCTGACTTGCTCGCATTGCTAATTATGTTATTTGTGTCCATTAACATAGATTGGTTTCATTTTTTATGTAACTTTTATTTCCAGTTTGTCTATGAATTTCATGTTGCCACTGACTAGTGTCTTTGATTGACTTCATTGAAGCTTAATCTCTAATGAACTCAGTTCTCTATGAATTTCAAACTCTAACTCTCTAAGTGCAAGAGAAAGAAATTTAACCTTTACAGGTGTTAGTTTTATCCTGTAAATCTGGGGAGATTTATCCTGCCAAGGCTGATACTGGTGTGCCGCTAAGTGTTGGGATGGCTTGTCTCGGCCACCAGGGTAAGACCCAAGGCACGTGCAGTATGGGATTACTCGAATCCTTGAACCGGACCAGATTTCCAGTATTGCCCTGGACCTTA